AGTATAAGCCAAGAATACTTAGAGTACTTTTCAGACTTTTCTTTATACTTTTCAGTATAAGCCAAGTATACTTAGAGTACTTTTATGTATATTTATCAAAATAGGACAAGTACACTTAAAATACTTAAAAATACTTTTCTGAAGTATATCTCGATCAAATATTCTGTGCAAGTAGAGGCCAAATATACTCTGACTTTTCTTTGTACTTGCCAGTGTAATCCAAGTATACTTAGAATAATTAATAAAAGTATATTTCGATCAAAAGATTTAGTATAAGTAGAGGCCAAATATACTCAGACTTTTCTTTATACTTGTCAGTATTAATGAAGTGTACTTAAAGTACTTTTCTGTATATTCATCAATATAGGCCAAGTACTCTTAAAATACTTAATACTTTTCTGAAGTATACCTCGATCAAAATATTTAGTGCAAATACACTTAGACTTTTCTTTATACTTGTCAGTATAAACCAAGTATACTTAGAATACTTAATCTTTTGGTGGAGATTAAGAAAAATATTACTAAGTACAAGTATAGACCAAATATACAGTACTCAGTATAGTTACTGTATAGTTGTCAGTATAAACCAAGTGTACTTAGAATACTTAATCTTTTGGTGGAGATTAAGAAAAATATTACTAAGTACAAGTATAGACCAAATATACAGTACTCAGTATAGTTACTGTATAGTTGCCAGTATAAACCAAGTATACTTAGAATACTTAATCTTTTGGTGGAGATTAAGATAAATATGACTAAGTACAAGTATAGACCAAATATACAGTACTCAGTATAGTTACTGTATAGTTGTCAGTATAAACCAAGTATACTTCGAATACTTAATCTTTTGGTGGAGATTAAGATAAATATTACTAAGTACAAGTATAGACCAAATATACAGTACTCAGTATAGTTACTGTATAGTTGTCAGTATAAACCAAGTATACTTCGAATACTTAATCTTTTGGTGGAGATTAAGATAAATATTACTAAGTACAAGTATAGACCAAATATACAGCACTCAGTTTAGTTACTGTATAGTTGTCAGTATAAACCAAGTATACTTCGAATACTTTATCTTTTGGTGGAGATTAAGAAAAATATTACTAAGTACAAGTATAGACCAAATATACAGTACTCAGTTTAGTTACTGTATAGTTGTCAGTATAAGCCAAGTATACTTAGAATACTCAATCTTTTGGTGGAGATTAAGAAAAATATTACTAAGTACAAGTATAGACCAAATATACAGTACTCAGTATAGTTACTGTATAGTTGTCAGTATAAACCAAGTATACTTAGAATACTTAAATCTTTTGGTGGAGATTAAGAAAAATATTACTAAGTACAAGTATAGACCAAATATACAGTACTCAGTATAGTTACTGTATAGTTGTCAGTATAAACCAAGTATACTTAGAATACTTAATAAAAGTATATCTCGATCAAACGATTAAGAACTTAAAAGGTAGACTGAAAGCATACTCTCTAATTGTATGTACTTATCAGAGATACACGTATAAGTATACTTGGCTTACTGACAAGTATACAGAAAAGTCTGAGTATATTTGACCTATTACTCAGTATAAGCCAAGTATACGTAAGTAAATCTCAGATACTCTCATACTCTCTTATTTATTTATTTATTTTTAAAGTATACAAATAACAAACTTTAATAAACTTATTTTTTATAAGGGTAGAGTTTCTGAATATGTCTCAACAATATTTCAAACTGTGCTCAGAGTTGCTCAAGATGCCAAAGTCTGAAATCAAGTCAATATGAAACATTTCCCATCAAATGATGTGAGCTTCTCTAGATATTCATTTTACAGCTCTAGACTCTTACTGGGTGACAAATAGTGACTCATTTGGGGCTGTTCCTCTCCTGAGGAATTTTAGGAGAAACATCCGAAACGAAGTTCATACTGAAAGTCATATTGTCTTCTAAAGTACAGGTCCAAGAATAAATGGTATTTCCATGGTATTTTTTGCATCTAAATACAGAGATTTAGACTAAAGGAAAACCTGAGATTGAAGGAGCTGGAAGTGACAGTCATGCTTGACTGACACGATCGTATGTGACAATAACAAAGATAGAAATAGACAGACAGAAACTCATTCACTCACACTGAAGAGCGACAGCAAGAAAGAGGGAAAAAACACTCTGAAGATGGGAAACAATGAGCCAGAGAAGGAGGAGGACAAATACAGCAGACCTTTGTGTCTGTCGGGGGTCAAAGAGGGACACGGCGCTCTCAGTCAGAGACATTCAAGGTCATCGACCTACAATGAGGTCAGAGACGGACCGAAATCTTACAAAAATGTAAAAAAAAAAAAAAACTCAAAAGAAGTAAAGGTCAAAATACAGACAGAATCAGGGTACCTGTAGTTATAAAAATGGATTTTACTATATAATTTTTTGCAAATTTTGGATTAATAGATCAAAAGTAGGGTCGAGAATCTATAGTACACTGTAACCAAATCACAAAATGGATAGATAGATAGATAGATAGATAGATAGATAGATAGATAGATAGATAGATAGATAGGATAGATTTAGAAAAATTTAGACAAAACACAGAATTTATGAAAACATTTCATATTATTGTAAACATTTTAATAAATTATTAATTTGTTAAAGTTTTATAAATTAAATTGTTTAGACATGGTTTTTGATTACTAAAATGTAATTAATCTATTAAAACTGAATCCATAAAAATGAAATGGAAAACACAGAATTTGGGAAAAATAAAATGGAATTTGGGAAAAAATTGAACAGATTTCATAGGGCCCTAAAATATATATATATTTTTTTTTACTTTTAATAAATTGCTAAATTGTATCAGTTTACTAAAATGTAACTACAATTTAACCATTAAAATAGAACTCAGAAAAATTTTAACAGAAAAAATGGAATTTGGGCAAAAAAACAAACCTCCTAAATGACGGTCCATGAAATGTTCTTTCCACAGTAACATATAATCCAGGTGGAGACCCTAAGTGAATAAAACCTGTGACCACTCTTTAAGTCCCGCCTTAAAAACCAATCCTATCTTGCATGGCAACTGTTGCCGCACCCCATATTGTCAAGCTGTTTCTTGGAATGGAGTGCTTGCATCCAGCAAAGAAACAGTATACTACTTTTTTTTAAATTAAGTATATGCAATATGCAATGCTAAACGTTTCAAACGGTACCGTGCAAACTGTGCTTTCTATTAAAATCGTGCAACAACACTGTGCACAACGTACGTTTTCTACAACTGAACTGTTCTATTTATACTCATAAACCACAGAGCGCTTGAACACCAATTGCCTAAATGCATCAAAAACAAACAAAAAAATGTATCAGCCAACCAATCAGCTGCATCAGAATAAATAATTTTCCGCTGCATAATTATGTAACTCTTGTGCAAATAAACAAAGGTCCTGTATCTAATGCGAGCTGGTTGAATGCGTGCCGCTCCATGTTTAGCACCTACTCGTATCGTGATGACAAGCCACTGAACACGCTGCATCGCCCCAGCCAGGACACGCTGTTCCCTGCACTCGTCTCAGCCTGAGACAGAGAGAGAGCAGCCAGTGGTCACAGACCGCAGGCGATACGCCAGGGCATTTCCAATGCGCCCTGGCAGCCGCGAGAGGTACATGTGTACAGTATTCATCGAGCTGGACAGTGCAACGATATGGCATGTACAGTTCTCCAGGGGCGGCGACCCTTCGGTTTCCATTCTAGATCAGTGGATGCTATCAAAACATTTATAATTATTTCCGTCTAGCTATTTTTTCCCAATGTCCACTTTTCAACTGTTAGACTATCAGATCATAACTGTTTCTGCTTGGCTAATTAACAGACGTGTAAGCTTCTCCTTGTGTCAATTACGAAATCTATTGAAAACTTTGGAAAATAATAATAAACGTTTTTAATTCTCAGTAAATATTTTTAAAACAGTAAATCAAATACTATTAAACTGTGTTAATTACATCTACTTTCCTGTATCAGCCTCGGCTACTGTAAAAATGAATAATAATATCAATAAATATTAAAACAATAATATTTAGAATATATGCATGTAATCTTAAAGGTACAGTAGCAAACTCAGCCATATATAATAACAATAATAAGTACTAAAATAAGAATTAAACATAATAAATATATTTGACAATGAAAAATGCCAGTTTCAGAGTTTGCACTTGACCTGCTTCATTAACCGACCTGTAGAAAATATGAATGCACACAATAATAATCTTTATACAAGCAACGAAAATATTGATTCAATATGGGTGGAAAAAATATATAAATTATATATGACTGTAATTTGCATGTGTGATTGCTTCAGTCCAAGTCTAGATTATTCTTATTTTATTAACACTGAGATACTATTATACTATTACTACGAATATATACTATTATTTAGTTTGAATTTAGTTTTTATTTTAATATTTTTCACTTTCATTTTAATTTACAAATTTTGGTCGTGCATTTTTTTATTTTTTAAATTTTTATATTTAATTTTTTTTTATATATGTCTTCATAGTTTTTATACATTTTTATTTCTATTTTAATTATCTTAGTACATCAAGTTAAACTACATGAAAATGAGAAACATTTCCTTGGCAACTAGATGAAATAAAACAAGTTTAAGGTTTTTTTTATATTTTATTTTATTTTATTTAAAGTAACAAAATGTTTTTTTTTTTTATGGTTTTAGTTTTAGTTAATTATAATCCCTGCACAAGATCAAGGAAAACTCCTGTTTTTAATGGCACAATCCCTTTAAATAGCAAGAAACACATCATATTCAATAACAAAAGTTCACAACAAACATGATGGGTTAGTTATGAGGAGTTATGGATTAGCTATTAGCTTGATGACAGAGTTTCGGACGGCCAAGGACGATCTTAGTGAATCAATGACAACCCCTGCCTACAGAATTATTAACAGAGCGGATTAAAGCCGAGTTATAGAGCAGCACAGACAGTAATACGTTACATACACTTACAGTCTGTGTGAATGAAGTGTCCTGGAAGTCATCAATGCATGTTCAATTAAAGAGCACTAGCTGAATATCAGCAAAAAACATGTGCATGTGCAAAACCACAACAAAACCACACCTCCCTCTCGAGTTTATACACGTGATCTGATTTAATGTTTGTGTGTCTTTATGCACGGAAAGTACTAATCGTCCAGAAGGGCTCAGTGGCGAATGCTTCCCGCGCCTGCCATTCGTGTCTTGTTTCAAGTTGCAATTCAACACACGCCGTGACCTCCAGCATGGGTTGGGGGTGGATGAGGGGCGAGGCTGTCAACAAAACCCAGTGACATCTGGATGGCACACTTCTCACGGTCACATTAAGAACATCGTCACGTGGGAGCGTGAAGATCTGAAAGCCACAAGTCATTCTTAGTAGGGATGCTCCGATCAGGATTTTTGCCGCCGATACTGAGTACCGATTTCTTGTCATGGTGATCGGCCGATACCGATGCCGATTCTGATGCTTCAAGCTTTATATAGACGGTTTCAATGGGCGCACGCGCCTGGCCCGAAGTTAACTTACGATCTGTGTTTGTTTATCAGTCTGGCTATGGCACCGGCTACAAACGCAGTTAAAGTTAAGGTGATGAGATAGCATTAATAACATTTCCACACCGGCGATGGCATGACTGCGGCATCATGTATGTCGTCACGCGTTGACGTCATCAAATTGCGATCGGTTCCTGAGATCGGCCAAGTAGGTGAGTACCGATCGAGTCATAAAATATGATTATCGGCCGATACCGATCTCCGGCCGATCGATCGGAGCATCCCTAATTCTTAGACAGTTTAAAAGCACTGAAATGACTGAAAAGTGACTTTGTCTGAGTGGAATCGGGTCACATGAACATTAGAAATGACAGCTCTTCATTTACTCATGTTCAGTGATGGACCAGTGTTTTAATGCGTATAGGTTAACACAGTAGTTCTCGAATATTCGAAAAAACGAATATTAGAATGTTTGTTTATTTAAATGAGGTTTAACGAAAAATATGTTATTTTTTAATAATCAAGTTTTTGTCGCCATTTCTGAACAAGCTTATGATTAGGCATTATACGGGCTGCACGATTATGACAAAAATCATAATTGTCGATTATTCCCTTGAAATTGTAATTGCGATTATTAATTACGATTATCACAATTTACATTGAATTATATTTATGCCATTGTTTAATGCAACTGCATGCCGTATTTTTATATGAAAATAAACAAGCTGAAAACACTCTAACTGAAAAACTTTGTGCTTTTCTATAGTATTAAGCCTCAAATGTCAACAATACATCGGATTGGTTTCTTCTTTAAATGATAAAAAAGTAAAAATATGAATTGTATTATAATGTTATACTAAAACTAAAATTAAAATAATGGGAAAAACCCTTAAGATAACATGTAGAAAGAAAAAAACGCATCTTAAGCACATAGAATAACATAAGTGGACTTTGAACGATTAATTGCCGCTTTGAACGATTACATAATTGTGGCATCCATAATTGTAATCGCGATTAGAAATTCGATTAATTGTGCAGCCCTACAACAATGTTCTACAACATGGTTACGTTATATCTCAAGGTTTTCTTTTAGTTGAAAACGTGTGTAAAGAAAAATATATATATGAAGAACAAAAGCATTCAAGCTCAAGCGCAAACGGAAAAAATAAAGCAGACGGTGCCAATTATAAGTCTATTTTGACTTGGACAAGTAAGCAAGCTACTCATAACACCGCAGCAACTGCAGAGCTGTGCAATTAATCGAAATGCAGTTTCGATTTCAATGTCGTCCTCCAAGGATTATGAAAACACGATAATCAAGATAAAACGATTATTGCACCCCATTCTGCCCCCTTTCCAGCGGTGCGCTTTCGCTCCTCCATAAAAGCCTGCAAATCAGTAAAATCATGTAACGTGACTTTCGCAAAATGGGACGTGCTTGATTTATCAAAGTTTATTAGATTTATTCATGTTTTTAAAAGCTTCTCGGGAGGCTTTCTGTGCATGCGCTCAGAGACGGAACAGAACACGTAAAGTCAACTTTTAATTTAAGGTGCCTAAACGGTCAAATACATGCAAAAATGTGTCAAAATGCGGCGCTTGGTGATTATTCACATAAACCATCGTCAGTTATGTAATAAGTGAACGTAAACAGTTGAGAATGAAAATACGTGCGTAACAGTAAATTGGATCCTTGCAGCTCTTAAAGTGACAGCAGCCTAATATTCCTGCTGCTGACTGTGTGCTTAATATTAATCAAACAACAACAAAACAGAGAAAATCACTCACTACTCTTGACTGAAGGACTTTTGTAGCTTTAATAAAAAACAAAAGAAGTTTAATTCTTACAGTGAAGACTATGCTGTTTTATTTTACATTCAGTTATTTAATTTCTGTAATAGGCTGTTAGCTGAATACTTTAGATTTGAATAAAAAACTTAAAGCACAGTTTGTTTCATTTGTATCTTTTTTATATTGTATTTGTCCTTTGCTTTGCTTTTTTTATTACTGGCATTTAATTATTTTCAATTAAACAGTCAGACTTTTTTTGTTTTTTACTAATATTAGTTACCCTAGTATTCTGCTGTGGTATTGAGAATTGTGAAATTTCTCTAAATCTCTAAATGTCTCTAAAATGTAGATGTCATAGCAACCTTATTTACAGAAAATATATATTTGATATATATTGCTATCTTTAAATAAATCACTCGTATAAAGTTTTGGTCATGCGGCCCACTCATAATCGTGTTAAATAATCATGATTACAATATTGACTAAAATAATTGTGATTATGATTTTTGCCATAATCGAGCAGCCCTTACTCAAAACACCTTAACAACTGCATAGCAACAGGAAAAATCGACTCAAAGCACCTTCAGATCTGATGATTTCTGATCTTCAGAAATCATTCTAATATGCTGATTTGCTGCTCAAGAAACATTTCTGATTATTATCAATGTTGAAAACAGTTGTGCTGCTTTATATTTTTGTAGAAATCGTGATACATTTGTTTCAGGATTTTTTGAACAGCATTTATTTGAAATAGACATTTGTAGCATTATAAATGTCTTTACTGTCACTTTTGATCAGTTTAATGCATCCAAACCTTTGAAGGGTAGTGTACATGCTCTCCCTGAAAGCCTTTAAGACGTTGATGTTAACATTTAAGTAGACACAGTCAGGTGGTTAGGACAGAAAAACTGGTCGGTCCAACCTGAAAATCCTGTTTTAGGAAAATAAGCAGCGGGGGGACGGATAGAGCGAGAACATTCCCCTTCTCTCACTGAATAACTAGCAAGAATGGTCTGATTAACAGTCTCAGATTCCAAACGAGTCGGACAAAGACCCTGAGAGAGAGACACGGCGAGACATTAGCATTTTACTAAGACTATTTTTGAGCGTGACAAAAACATTGCAGAGAGGCAGACAGAAGCAGCACAACATGTTCGGACATGAGAGGAAATCTGTGATGATTACCTTAAAGACACTCAACCTAACTAATGGAGGCTAATTTGGCTTACCTTGTTCCTTATCATGTGGCTTTTCTGAAATATGTGATTTAAACATTCAGGGTGCAAATATTTTTGCATATTTAATGCTAAACTAACCATTAGCCGTTAGATTTCTTACATACAGTATCTGTGCATATTGCATCACATTGAATTTTCTTTCTTCTCAGATAATAAAATGCAACTCAAATCAATAGTTCACATCCATCTGGTAAGCAGCTGTACAATAAGCAGGATCATTTTCAGTCAGTTGGTCATTTTGCGCAATATAAACTCCTTCAGGGTAATAACCCTTCCAACTTTGCGTTTATTTAGTGTTTATGACCGTCTGACTGTATATTAACTCTTACATATTTGACACTGCAACCAGAATTACAAATGAATCCTGGTTAGTCAGGTTTTGAGTTTCACACTGCAAGTTGGTAAACTCTGGGTTAACGCTCTTATTAGATCAAAACATCAATGGTTTAAATCATCGATGGTCCCTACAAACTAGCGTGCTGCATTTGGTTACGTCTCATGCGACAGCTTAAAAATTCCATGGAATTGTGTTGCACGGAAGACACAACATAAGGGTGAGTAAATAATCACGGAATTTCAACAGTTCTGAGTATTTTCTGTAAATACAGTTTGCAAAGACTACAGTTGCACAACACTAAAACACTCCACAGATGTCATGGCAGATACAGCCGAAAACCTACAGCAACATGCAGATCAACACAACACAAGGTGAACTCCAAGACCCTCGCAGAACGTCCGGTTATGCAACTTCATGGGGGGTTGGTGCTGCGAGCAGTGTGTCTGCTTGAGTAATTTAAGCACGGGCCCCGCAGCGAGAATCGGACAGTCTGGTTTGTGTCCAGGGGCCTGCTGCAATAGCAATGAATTGCAAGTTACATCTTAGCAAAAATGACAAATGTGACCCTGGAGCACAAGGGTAAATTTTTCGAAATTGAGATTTATGCATCATATGAAAGCTGAATAAATAGCTTTCCATTGATGTATGGTTTGTTAGGATAGGACCATATTTGGCCGAGATACAACTACTTGAAAATCTGCACAAAAAAAAATCAGAATATTGAGAAAATCATCTTTAAAGTTGTCCAAATGAAGTTCTTAGCAATGCATATTACTAATCAAAAATTAAGTTTTGATATATTTACGGTAGGAAATTTACAAAATATCTTCATAGAACATGATCTTTACTCGGTTTTAGTTTTAGCTATTTCAGTACTTCACGTTAAACTAAATGAAAATGAGAAATGTTGCCTTGGCAACCAGCCAATTTTGTAAAATATTTTTAATAGATTTTTTTATATTTTATTTTAAAATGTATTTTATTTAAAGGAATGAAAATGTTTTTTATGGTTTTAGTTTTAATTAAAGACTGTAAAATGTACTTTGTTTTCCGTACAGCTTCGAAAAATCTTTTTTTACAGTGTAGCCTATTTAAAAAATCGTATTCAAAATAAGCTACATAGCAAAAGTATAATTACTTTTTTTTTTTTTTGGAGTGATATATGACTTTTTTGTCATTAACCTACAATTAAACACGGATTAACCTAAAAATTCAAACACAGCCTGGTTGACAAAATTGTCTTGTTTTTATTTGTTCTCTACTAATATTAATAATTCATTCATTACTAATATTAATAATGTCATATGAAAGTTTATAGTACTCCATAGTAGTCAACACATACCATAGTATTAACATGGTAAAAAAAACACAATTCCAGACCCTGATTAAGACTCAAACAGTCATAAAAAAACATAAAGTGAGAACTGAGCCGCTAATACACACAGTAACTACACCTGTGATATTATGTAACTCTCTTTCACCACAGGAGCAAAAATCTCCAGACTGCTATAATGTCAACAAAATGATCTGATGTGCTCAGAAAAGC